TGGATTTATAAAATCTCCCCCTCCATGTAATACTTCCCAGTCGAAAATGCTGTATTTTATTACACCCATATGATTGGATCAGGATTGGCTAAAATCTTTGGCTTCAATAAACTGTAAAAATGTGAGATTTTAAGATACGGCCTCCAATAAAAGGGAAAAAATAACAAACAGAGATAGTGTGTTTCCCAACAGCTTTAGTATTCTTAAACAAAAGAAGAAGAAGACCCACAAGAGAGTTGTCGTCCTCCTTTACATAAAGCGGCAGGCTGAGCATGTAGCTGGTTTCAGTTTGGATGGAGTTGCACTTTAAACACTGCAGGTGTGTCTCCACTGAAATCTTGTACAGATCCTGAATTTCCCCAGCCTTTCAGAGAGGGCAAATGCAAACAAACACTGTTGCAGATAACACACGCAGAAATGAATAATATTAGAGTAGTTTGATCGCAGTCCAACCAGAACTCTGTTGTCCATCTGCTGGTGAATGAAGTTGAGAATCGAGAGGAACACCTCATCTGCATCATGCTGCACATTAACTGTAAAGCATCATTAGAATGTGTGAAATAAGACACATCGGCAGGAGGTATTTTCTCTGCAAAAGCGTGGCTCTTACGTCGAAAGCGGTTTTGGTCCAGACAGTGGAGGAAGTCACGATGTGGAGCGAGCTGAGGGAGGCCACCCCGCATGGCCTCAAGAACTCTCTTTAGATGCAGCGCGACATTACGAGCATCTCCTCTCGCACCAGCTACATCCCACCTTTTAAAATTCATAAAAGCTTGTTAATATTGTAAACAGCCTTAGGATTTCCACAGTAAGTGGCACTACAACATCACTGAGTCAAGATGAAAGCAGCTGTAGCAATTCGTGTGATTACCTTTCTAGCAGTTCTGCTATTTCCCAGGTAGCAGAGAAAGTCTGCAGCAAGCTGTTCACACAGCATGATAGACAATAGTTGGAGAGGCCTCTCATCCCTGTAAGAGTAACAAGGGTTAAATAACAGCCTGTGACACCGTGAATCAACCCACCAGAGCACCAGCGGGTGTGTGCATGTGTGAAAATAAATAAAAATGGAAAAGCACAGTCAGCTGTGGAGAACCCCGCATTTTTGATATATATTCTATTAAAATAGCAAATCATGGTTTTAGAGATCACAGAGCATGAGGCTTGTTCGGTTTATTAGTTTTAGGCCCCGTGTTGAGCAAATGTGGAGCAAGTTGACTTCACTTCACACAGACTCACGGTCAGTATTTTGGTTTCTGTGTCACTGAAATATGCCTGACCTGAAGGTCAAATGCAACAACAGACAAAAGAGCATTTATGAATCAGTCATAAATTTATGAGGCTTAAAGAGTTCTTTTGAGGTGCAGAAATCCTTTAAAGGTTTGTTAAACAGCATTACCACCTCCTTAACAACCCAGTATGATAAATATGAGTAAATATGAACATGAATATGATCAGTTATATGACTATTAGCATAGTTTAAACAGATCAGCCAGTAAATGATTAGATTATACAGTCACCAGACACTTTATTAGGTACACCTTTTCAACTGCATGTTAACTCATATATCTGATCAGCCAATTACATGTCGGCAGCTCAGAGCATTTAGACATGTAGACGTGGTCGAGTCGACCTGCTGAAGTTGAAACAGAGTTACAGAGTGGGAAACAAAGGTGATTTTAGTGACTTTTAACATGGCATGGTTGTTAGTCTGAGTGTTTCAGAAACTGCTGATATACTGGGATTTTCCCACACGGCCATCCCTAGAGTTTACACAGAATGGTCTGTAAAGTTTGATGTCAGAGGTCATAAGAGAACTACCAGACTGCTTCAAGCTGATTAGAAGAGTAGAAACAGCAACTCAAATATTCACTAAAATTAGGTAACCAACATGAAACTGAGGCTATACTTCACACGCTTCACCAAAATTGGACAATACATAACTGGAAAAACGTTTTCTAGTCAGATGAGTCTTGATTTCTGCTGCGTGAAAGCATGGCTTTTCCTGCCTGCCCTGTATCAACAGTTCAGGCTGCTGGTGGAGAGGGAGTAATGTGGGGGGTATTGTCTTTGGCCCTATAGCACCAGCTGAGCATCATTTAAATCCACAGCCTACCTGAGTGTTGTTGCTGACCATGTCCATCTCTTAATGACAACCGTGAACCCATCTTCTGATACCTGCCTCGGGCAGGTTAACGCACCATGTCGCAAAGCTCAAATCATCTCAAACTGGTTTCTTGAACGTGACGATGAGCTCACTGTACTCAAATGGCCTCCACGGTCACCAGTTCTTAATCCAGTAGAGCACCTTTGGGATGTGGTGGAACAGAGATTCCCATCATGGATGCAAAGCCAACAGATTTGGAGCAAATGTGCGATGCTGTCATGTGAGGAAAGATTCCAGCGCCACCAAGGTGTACCTAATAAAGTGGCTGTGAGCGCATTTTTGGCACACTGTGCACTACATTACTCATGATTGTTCATGACCGAAAAAGCACTACAGCTTTAGAAAGTTAACTGACTAAAATAATTTTCCCTATCTGTGAATAAAACTTGACTTCAAAATTGTTCCGTTTTTATTTACTGTGAAATTAATAACGAGTGCGTCTACGAATCGTTGAGGAGCTTTAATCGTATTTAACAAACATCTCGTGTATTTCGCTGAAGTAGGACCTTTAAACTAGTATTTATAGTTCTCAAGCAAACAGGAAATAATATAAAAACATCACCATCGGGTTGAGAATGATCCGCTTACTAAATAAGTGATTCTCCAGAGTAAGTCCAGAAAAGAAATGGCAGATCCCAGTAGACATCAGTGCAGCCTTCTGCTCTTCTTCAGGGTCTCAGGACGGTCACTAAACCAACAGAGGGTCGAGCGTTTGTTGTACTTCACCCCACTGTAAACATCAGCGCCACAGAAACAGTTCCCAGCAGCAGTTTCATTTTACAGCTTTCTCTTCGCTTTGCTGGAAACGAAACTCACAAACTGTCATGCGCAAACCGGCTAGAACTATGACGTCGACATGTTACGGCGATCACGTCGGCACTTATTAGCTACACAGCATTGGTGACACATGCGTCCAGATTATCTCCACAGTCACAGGCAGTACTCTGTACTCGAATACTGAAGTATTTCCACTGTGTGCAACTTTA